AATATTTTCCGAGTGATTCTAAACATAGTTTTACTTCATTTCTAGTAAAAACTATCTGTTAGAACTCAATTGCTCAAATTCACATAATATTTCATAATATTATTCACTTAAAACACGATTTCAAAACGTGTATGTTACAATATAGTCATAAGACTAGTCCAATAAAAATTTAATGACAAATAGCTTCAAATATCATGTCAATTGAATAGGAATCAAATGTGGCAGGGAATTGGCACTCAAACTCAGATGGAGATGGTGGGATACTCATGGCAGAGATGGGGATTGACGTTCACATTGCCGGAGACATAGTTACACAGGCATGTTTGTGGAGATGGATATTAATTTAAGAGGAACAATATGGTCAATTTGATTTTTTCTTATAGGGTTTATGTCATTTTTGGTCACTTAACTTTTGGTTTTGTGCTCATTTGGTCACTTAACTCTTTTTAAGTTTTAAAATGTCATCAAACTTTTGGCTTTTGTGCTCATTTAATCACTTAACTTTTGGTTTGGTCACATTTAGTCACCTAACTTTTAAAATTATGTCATTTAGTCACTAAACTTTTAAATTTTTTTAAAAGTTTAGTGACTAAATGAGCACAATTTTAAAAGTTAGGTGACTAAATGAGCACAAATCTAAAAGTTAAGTGACCAGACCAAAAGTTAAGTGACTAAATGAGCACAAAGTCAAATGTTTGATGACTTTTTAAAACTTAAAAATAGTTAAGTGACCAAATGAGCACAAAACCAAAAGTTAAGTGACCAAAAATGACATAAACCCTTTCTTATGATCATAATAATTATTAAATATAAAAACATAATTATATACTATTAATAATATTATGAAAATAGTATTTGAGTAAATATGATATTTTAAAAGTTTAATAAGTATAAATATGATATTTAGAAATTAAACTTGATAAATACGATATTAATATGTTTAATAAGGGTATATATGAAATTCTCCCAAATTTATAAGTTTAATAGATCGTTTTCTTTTTTCATATTTTTAATATTAATCTATTAATTTACTTTATAAATTAATATTGGCATGACCCATAAATAAGTTTTGTTAAAAAGCTTAGCTATAATATAGGTGTGATAAGTTTTTTCTTTTTGTTGATAGGGTGGTAAAATGGTACCAAAAAACTTATTGATAAAACTCTTTATGCTTTTAGTTGTGTTTTTTTTTTTCAATAGCTTTTGTTGACCTCATTTGTCTACAAAACGACACATGTTTCTCTTGAAGACTGTTTGTTTTTTCGGAAAACGGCAGACGTTAGCGCGTCCTCTTTTAAAAAAACATGGAAAATCATTTTTAAGGTCTATAAATGTCTTTAAAAAAATCACTTTTATTCCATGTGCTCAATAGCCACTGCCACACACGTGCTTTTCCCTAGTTGCTCCATTGTTGGACAACTGCCAACATAGAACCACCGCCAACGGCGCACTACAGTCCACATGTAAGTTCTTCAATAGACTGTTCCATCTTTTTGAAATCGGCTTAATAATATCCTAATTTTGCTTTTTTCTTTTCTTAATTTGTAGAAGTAAGGTGTTGGGCAAAAGAGACAAGCCAAGACGGGATGATTGTTAGAGATTTTTCCGATTCAGTTTTCAATTTTCATGCTTATTGAAAAAGGTGTCCCTTTCCACAAAGATTGAAGGTTTAAATCTCGTTGTGGACAAAAGAAATAGTTCACAATCCACATGTAAGTTCTTCAATAGACTGTTCTATCTTTTTGAAATCGGCTTAATAATATTTTGCTTTTTTTTTTCTTAATTTTGTAAAAATAGGGTGTTGGGCAAAAGAGACAAGCTAAGACTGGATGATTGTTAAAGATTTCTCCGATTCGGTTTTAAATTTCCATGCTTTTAGATATTTAAGATCATGGTTGGCCTCATGGTATCAATGTATTGAAAAAGATGTCCCTTTCCACAAGGGTTGAGGGTTCAAATCTCGTTATGGACAAAAAAAAAATAGTTTAGGAATATGATTTAGTAGGTGTGTATGTTAGCTTTAAAAACAAACAGCTTTTTTTGTATTTTTATTGTTGAGTCTACATTTTCTACATATACGGTTAGAAACTACGGACGTTTGCTTTTTTAAAAATAAAAAGCACCTTAAAATTCACAATATAAGTTCTTTGGAAAGCTCTTTTACGGTAAAGTCCAAAAATTATCATGAAAGTTTTTTCGATTTGCTTTTAATTTTACAAGATCCATGCATATAGTTATTTTCACAATTTAATACTATTTTATTCTTTTACTCATTTAATTCGAAATAAAAAGCTATTGCTACTTGCTAGGACCTACATATAAGGTTTGTGAAAATGTCAAGGTTTTTGGTTACTTGAATATTAAAAAAAAAATTATATAAAATGAACTATAGCCAAAAATATCTCCAAACAAAGCCCAAGAAAACACCAACATCATCTCGTAAACCCCTCTTTAATATCCGTATACCATTTATTCATTCATAGTCATACAACTTGTGTAGCTTGGTATCATCAAGAGGTTCAAAACAAAACTAGCAAAACAGGATCATCAAAATACCTTCCCACCCTTACAAACAGGTTATATATGTAATGTAAGTAATATAATACCAAAACCAAATATTAGGTTTTTGTATGTAATAAACCACGTAGACTTTTAACTCTTTTTTTCTTGTGTATGTTGATTAAGATACTTAATTCTAACCTTAACGTGACCTTTTATAAAGGCTATAAGCCACAGCAACAGTTGCAACAGCTCCAACTACAGCAGCAGCTGTAAACATCTCATGCTGCTCCCATTTTTTTGTAAAAAAATTGACGTTAAAAGTTGACTTTTTTGCCCCTGAGCTTTCATCTCTGCAGCATGAAAACCCATTAGCACCTTGACAACAGCCTCCAGTATTTTCCCTCTCATCATCTTTCCCATTCACCTTTGAATCATTTCCATTTGGTAGTGACTTTTCAACTGCCTTGTCAGCTTTCTCAACTGGAGGAACACCCATCTCACCCCTGCAGTGGAATCAAAAAACATGTTCAGAATATATTTATAGCATTCTAGTTTTAGACGATTTCTCATTAGGGCAATGTACTTTAAATAATTTGAAAGTACAATGATGTAATAATTAATTTTTTCGGAAAGTAGATTGCTATGTCTTGTATTTAGCTTTATATTTTATTTGCTAGTGAGTTAAATGAGACAAAATCCAAGAACTTTACCACATTAATTAAGAACAAAATGGGTTGAACTGTTTAAAAGCTGACAACTTTTTACAACCTCCTAAATTGTTTATTAAAATGTGAAATTATTATTTTTTATGATAGTTTTTGTAACTATATTTTAAAAGCTAGTTGGATATGAGATAAAAGAATTGGATAAAAGGCATTGGCAGGTCGTATTTGTGTTTTTTTTAACCATATTTTTGCAGGTCGGGGGCAAATCGGTCAATTTGGGGAAGTCAAGTCGGGTCAAATGTCAAAACAAGGATACGTCGATCAAAATAAAAGAGGGTCAAAAAGACTGAAGGAAAGTCAAATCTGGTCAATAAAGGTCAAGAACAGAAAGTCAAAATTGAAGGAAAGTCAAAGCTGGTCAATGAAGGTCAAGAGCAGAAAGTCAAAATCAATCAACTTGACCGTGAAAATTAGAGAAGAAATGTGGCAGTGGATGATTCGGGCCATGCAGATCTTAAGATATTTTGGTCATTTATTTAGCAGCAAAAGCATAAAAATCATCAATTCCATGAGAGATTTGTTTGTCTTTTCTGATTGTAAATAATTAACTAATCTTTGGCATAATAGTAGCCAAAATTTCATTCCATTATTGTGTGCTTATAAATGTTAAGGTCTTTATAGCTTCAGCTATGATTATGGATGTTTGAATGTTTTCTATCAATTCATTTCTATTTTCTAATAACATAATCAAGTAGAAATCAATATCTGATCATGAATGGTTTTTAAAGATTAATCAATAGATTCATTTAGGTCATAGGATCATATGTTCATATCCATTATAACATTATGCACAAACTTCTAACAATATTAATTTCCCTTTTGAATTGGGAAAAAAAACCAATTAAGCTAAATACATAAGAGGGGAAAAGAGTACCTCCAAATCCTTTCAATGATCTCACCCTTCTTGATATGTTGGTCAAGCAATTCAGCCACATCATTTGGGGTAACATAACCGTACCTTATACAACAAAAAAAACAAGAAAGTAGTCATAAGAAAATGAATTAATACATTCTTTGGGAAGTAAATGTTAGACTCTGCCTCAAATAGAAAAATAAGAATAATTAAATGGTTATGGATTGTCTTACCAATGTCCAGACACTTTTCCATCTTCAACTGAACTATATATTATCAAGTTCCCTGCATACTTATGTCCTCCAACATGAGAGCAAGCACTCACAAACACCTGATCCTTCAATTCCCTAACTTCAATCTCTTCATTGAACTTTTCAATTAAAGCTGGCCCACAAACACCACATCTTTTATCTCGACTGCTATGAGCACACACAAATACGTATGAACCTGTCACTAACTCCGGTGTTCCTGAAGCCCATGGTTTTCCATTCACAAGCACTTCCTCCACAAAACTATCAACGTTTGATTCTTCCAAACCCCTTCAATCACAAATGCACTAGTAAGTAAACTACATATCGATGTGTTCTATTATGTGAAGATTTGGATAATGGACACCCTAAATAAGATCATCTTTGAAGAAAAGTTCTCTTGTTTTCAGTCCTCAATCAAAATTGTTTAAAATCGAAAGTGTGATTTCATCATTTCATGAACTTCTAAAGGCCTCCAACTTTGTTGATATATATGATCTTTGCAAATTCTCTAAGCTTTCCTCATTATCATTCAAGGAATCATCTTGCTAGCATAGCTTTTGCCTTTTCAATCAACATTACTCTTTAGTCTTTACACAAAGTTCTAATCATGGCAGAGGCTAGTAAACTTCAGTGTTTTTTATACTTCAGATCCAATTTCACTTGTTCATATTAGCAAAAGAAATGAAGCTTAGGTATGATGCGGAATATAAGCGTGGTCAAATTTGAAGCTCAAGACCGAATAATATGCTATATTAAGTATCAACTCTATCAAAACTGAAAGAGCAAAACTTCCGCTAAGTTGCACATGGCGTCGAGTATTGTTTTGCTTTCAAATTGACAAAAGCAACAGATCGTAGACTCATGGAGAACCATAAAAGAAATCTGAGAAAAAACAAAAAACGAATCTACACAGCACACACGCAACAAATGGCTGATGAAATATGAATTTAAAACCCTAGCGAACTTCACAATACCTGTACTTGATCATATCAGGAAAAATCAAAACATCTCCATCTGACAAACCAGTAGCATCACCGCCCTCGAATATCGTTATCAGAGTCTACAATAGTTAGATCGTGAATAGAAAAAAACTCGTCAACACTCAAAACCTTCAAATACCTCATTAGATGAATTAACACAAGTGAGCGACAATAACCTTAACAGCGATATCGTTCTTACGCTCCTTGATAGCTCCAGCAAGTCGCTTAGGGAGCAGATCCGAGTCGGAGGATTCAACACGAGCAGGCCAGTCTTCGCGAGTCTTGTAGCAGAGGAAAACGTGACGTTCGTAAGGATGGACTGATCCGGAGAGATTCTCGGTGTACATCTCCTGCCTTTGGAATCCGAACTTGACGTCATCATCGACCACCACAGCTTCAGTAGAGATATCAACGGTACCGTTCTCTGAAGCGGCAGCCATGCCGGAATAGGTATCGACGGCGAACGGAGGAGGAGATATAGAGAGGGAGTTGGATAAACTTGGAGGGCAAGGGAACGGCTGAGATGTTAATGGATTTTGGTTTTCAAAAAAGGCTTTTTATCATTTACAATTTCACGTGTCGTAGGTAGAGGTTTTGGCCTTTGGGTTGTTTGGAAAAAGGCAACAATTAACATCTCGTTTTTTTGTCTTTTTGGCCACAATAACTAATAAGATATTCACTAAAATAAATATTTGACTATAGTTCGACAAAACCACTTTTATTTGATATTTAGAAGTCTAACCAGCATATATTTTGAATTAAAGAAACTGCAAAATCCCAATAATTAAGTTTCCAAACAGGTTCATTTATCCCTAACAAATTTACTTTGCATCCAATCAATTTCAGAACTTAGTTAGATAATAGCTCGCAAGCAACAGCAAAATCTTGTATTTATAGTTGATGATGAGGATAAGGGCTGATGATGAGGATGAGGGCGAAGCAATTGTACAATACAACATATATTATGATATTATTGTTATCGAAGAATGTGATATTTTTATAAACCATCTCTTTAGAATAAGCCAATGATGCATGTGAAACCTGTAATTTTGGCATATATCCTATAATCCTATATCCAAGTAACTAGTTAAATCATAAAAGTAAGTAGTTAAATGTTCTCTAGTTTTATATATTTTACTATCTTTGATGTTTTGTTGGATCGGTATTAATTTTGTTTGTTTTATTATTTTTAGTTTAGTAATAAAGAATATAAAGTTATGCCGTATGCGCATTAACATGTACGTTTCTCTAATTCTGATTATGAATTAATGAATTAATTGTTAATTGTTTTTAATAAATTCGTGAATATACCTTACTCCCAACAAATTCTTCTTCTTGGTCATTAGAATGTAATATTATATTAAACACTAATTGTCCATAAATGAATTCGCCTTTAGATATTTTAATTTGACCAAACACACACCAACAAATCATTGAAAAGATATCAAAACGTGCAAGCATTGAACTATAACGACATTGACACCCCTTTAGACTTTTCATACAACTAAACGTGTATGCTTGTGAAGATGAGTTTCAGTCAGGCACAGCAAAAGCTTATAGCATTATTCATCCGGTTCTGAAGGTCACCCACCGGATTATTGCTTCTCTCTTATTTCCTCAAGAAGAGATTAGCAAAGCAAACAAAAAAGAATTAGAAGTTTTGTGGTGCATGATTAACAAGCCCGAGGAAGTCCCTCATTTTGGGTGTTGGGTAGTTCAGAAAATGCTCAGAAATGCCCTGCACAATGGTGGCCAGCTACATTGTGGAGGCATTGTATCTATTATAGCTGAACATCTTGGCCTCCATCTACCCAACAATCCAACCAATATAATTTCGGGCCGTACTCGTTTATCACTTGAGGTTTTGGAAATCATGTATCTCTTTCACCGTCATCCCAATGGGGATGTTCATTGGACAGTCGATGGTAAAGAATATTTACGCGTCGATAACCGAAATAAGAGGATATTAGTCTTGGCCAATGACATCCCTTCTACCAATTGGCACCTCCAATCCAACTTGGGTGTTACTGCTGCTCGTAGACCTTCAACCACCACTTCTACTCCTCCTGCTCCTACTGCTAGTGCCTCTAGCTCATCTCGCCCCATTCCTTTTCCTAAACACAATCTTTACATGGGCGAGTTTGCACACTTGAACCACCGTTACACCAGCATACAGCAGGAAGTCGGAGAAATTTATACGGGTGTCGCTGAAATCACTTCTGATTTTCAGGACTACCCTAACTTGCAAGAAGAGCGTTGGGCCCAACAAGAGCTACGGTAGGCT